CGTTCAGCTACTCGGCACAGTGTTTGGCAGTGGTGGGTGGCAGCAGTGGAGAGAGGTCACAAAGTGGCTGCGCTTATCTTAGAGAGTATACGGCCTTGTGGCCGCCACCACTGAAAAAGATGTGGCTTTACCATAGCAGTGGCCAGGGGAAGCCTCTGCTGAAAGCCGAGGCCTACTGACTCTAGGCAGCTAGAAACTGTCTCCAAGCTGGGCAGACAGTTCTGAGCAGCTCAGCCGCAGCAGGAATGCACTTGTGGGGTGCAGCGGGTGGGCTGAGCTGGGAGCACCTGTGGAGAGATGGCACTTTCCCAGCCTAGACCGCAGGCTCAGTTGAACCCACGGCCTGTCCCAAATGGGGTGGAGGTTTCCAATATCCTGCTCCTGACAACCAGATATAGTGGGAAATTACCAATACGGAGTCAGGTAGAGATACAAGGGAATTTAATAGGGAAAAGCCTTACTTACAGAGCTACCTAGCCAGCCGGCGGGCAGCAGTCTGTACAGCAAGCTGAAAAACAAAAGTGAAAGTGAAACCCAGTCACCTGAAACTCTTACTCCACGTCACCCTGACCATGCCCTCGGAGGTGTGGTCAGACACACCTGTAGCCAGCCCCTAAGTAGGCTTGGCTACAGCTTCCCCTACATACCTCCATCAGTTTCTTCCCCCTGATATTTCCAGAATACAATCTTGTCTTCCATTTTATAGAAAAGGTCATAAATTCCCCCCCAAATGTCTTTCCTATATCTCCATGTCTTTTTTTTTTCTTTAGTTACCACCTGTTGTCTCCAGGCATGTCCTTGAACCCTCACTTTATACAACCTGGGGGTCTTGGTCTCTATCATCTCACTTTTTCTTCCTATTGGAGCTTGAATCCATGGTCTTGTGTATGTTAGATATGGTGGTTTGAAGGAGGAGGTCCCTCATAGGTTCATGTATTTGAACACTTGGTTGCCAGATGGTAGCTCTGTTTGGGAAGATTTAGGAGGTGCAGACTTGTTGGCGGAAATATGTCTTTGGAGGCAGATTTTGAGAGTTTAAAGATTTGTTTCATTTCCCATTCACTTTCTTCCATGTTGGCTTTTTGTTTTTGCTTTTATTTTTTTCTTCATGCTTGCTTTTGGAGATGTGAGAGCTCTCGATTCCAGCTGCAATGCTTGCTGCTTGCAGCCACATGGACTCTATCCCTCCGGAATTGTTAGCCCAAATAAGTCCTTCTTCCTGTAAGTTGTCTTGGTCATAGTGTTTTATCACAGCACCAGAAAAGGCACTAATAGGCCAGACAAACACTCTCCTACTGAACTGTGTCTCCAAACCTCCTCACTTCTTTGTCATAAGGTATGGTCTCTCCTTGTCCCCGATTTCTATATTTTTTAAACTCTGTCTCTCTGTCTCTCTCTCTGTCTGTGTGTGTGTGTGGGGGGTGTCCATGTGTGCATGTGCTCATGTATATCAATGTGGGTACATGAGTGTCACGGCATGCATGGGGAGCAAAGGACAGCTTTTGGGTGTTGGTGATCTCCTTTCTCATGGTCGAGGCAGGGTCTGTACCAAGCTGGTTCGTCTGAAGATTCTGGATGATTCTTCTGTTTCCCTCTCTCATCTCACCACAGGTGTTCTGTGTTTACAGCTGTGCACCATCACATGTACCCAGCTTGTTATGTGATGACTCAGGTTGTCAGGCTTACAGGGCAAGCGCTTTTACCTAACTGAGCCACCTCACCAGTTCTGATTCCTTTTCAAAAAAAATTCCCATTTAATCCAAAGTCATTTAAGTGAATGTTGGATAAAGTATGTTCTTATATAAATATGTACATATGTTCATAACAAACTTGTTAGGTTATTTGTGGATTTTTATGTGCCCTTCTATAAATTCATATAACAATTATGTCCTCAGAATCACAGCTCTTAGAACTGTGAGAGTTGGGGGCAGGGATGTGGCTTGCTTTTCATCCTCACTTTGGTTTGATCCTCAATGCAAAACTGGGTTCCCTTTCAACAACTCATCAGTAAGACTTTGCATCCAACTCAAGAGAAACAGCGCTCTTCTTTAGCAGCACCAGGCAGCTCAGCAGGTAAAGGCCTATGTTGTCAAGCCTGAGGACTTCCGTTTATATTCTGGGACCCAGAGACAGGAGGGAATCAGCTTCCACTCCTTGGACCTCCACACAAATGCTGTGTCACACTTGACACACACACAGACACACACACACACACACACACACACACACACACTAATGATAGAAAAAAAAGCAAACGTGAGTGACTGCGACATCATCAGGTCCAGAGAAGCAAGCTCAGTCATGCCAGGGTGGAGTAGAGATGTTGGAAGCAGTCAGTGAGGATTGGAGCCTGGACTGCTGGAATGAAATCTAAACAGGATGCTACTACCCTGGGCAGATGTGCCTTTTCCTTCCTGCCTGAAGATGGGCAGCATGAATGACATGGCCCAGGGTCCGATTTATAACCTGTTTTCCTTAGCTTGACTGCTGACTACACAGCCCAGAGGACGCCTGTTTGTAAGTACCTACTCAAGGAGTGGACGGTGCCATCTTCAACGTGGAGGTGCTACGTGAAGACATTAAAGGGAAAAGTGATGCACAGGGGTGCGCTTGGGCCCCTTCTCTTCCCCGGTGCGCTCCAGTCATTCTGGATGTTGTGGTATCTGTATCCTCTTCAGCTTCAGATGACAAAATACAGCCGCTGACAGCGTCATGTGGCACCAGGAGAAACGCTGTTTATGTGCATGTAGACTCCCAATTCCAGGGCTTGCTGGATTCTGTTTTAATCCTTGACTTGCCGAAGCCTTATGAGTCATATGTTTATGACTCAACACTGCAGTTCAAAATGACAAACCACTAAAGAGCTAGCTCTTCTGAGTGAATAACAAAACTTCTGAGGATCATGCCTGGATAAAGATTTTTCCTCCTCATAATTTTAGGCTGCCTCTTTAAATATTGTTTTTAATTATGTGCACATGTCTCTGTGTGTATGTGTGTGGGGGGGTTAATACCTGAGCGTAGGTACTGTGTAGGCCAGGGGCATAGGATTCCTTTGGAGCTAGACTTAAGGTAAGATACCTGATGTGGTTGTTGGGGATTAAACCCAGGCCCCAGTGGAACCATCTCTCCAGACCCCTATAGTCCCACTTTTAAATAAATAAATAAATAAATAAACAGCAAGTTCAGTAAACTAATGATTTCCTTTGAATCCACTTCTGTGTTCTGTCTCGAAAATTAAATTCTTTTGGATTCCCTATACGTGCAGGCTTGAGAAGCAACCACCAGTAGCTCCCTATGCCTTTTGGTTTTTAGTTTTTGCACCACGGGCACTTTATCAGTTGAGCATCCTCCCCTCTCTCATGTTTAACTTTTTTGAGACAGGGTTGTGCTGTGTAGTCCAGGTTTCCTGGAACTTTCAGTGGGTCTCTTGCTTCTGCCTCCCAGAGTACAGGGATTACATATATCAGCCACCACACCCAACTCAACCTTTTGTTTTTGTAGCTTCAATTATCAGACCAATTCAGACAACATTAAGATGCTGAGGAACTAAGTCATCTAAATAATTGCCTTCGACAGACTCGTTACTTTCATGCAGTATCGAAGACCCAGCCTGAAGCGGATATTCAAAATCTGAATGAAGCTTTTGTCAGCTGAAGCCAAGATTGATATTATATAATATAAGTGTGAACTCTTCCAAAAATGTATGTCTGCCTCCTCCAGGCACTTGTTTCCTGGCCAGATCTCACTTACTCAAAGGTCAGCTTCAGAGGGATGACATTCTGTGTTTGCCCCCCTCCTCAAAGCAGAATTTCTTGTTCCAGCCTTTGTGCAATCTTAGCCTGAGTCTGGCTTGTTTTGTGCCCTGACACCCTAAATACCTGACATGGAATCGGGGCTCCCGTCAGAAGCCCTGAGTCCTTTGGATTTAACAACAATCTCAGTGTTGCCCAAGAGTGCCAACACTGGTGGCATAGTACCCTGCTAAGCCTGAGCCTAAGTTAGCTTCAATTCTCAGTATGACGTCCCACTGAGCCTGAATCTGAGTTAGCAGTGGGAGGAGCCTGAGTAAACCCAGTCATTGACCAACAAGTCTGCATTTGCTCTTTATTTGGTCCTAAGTTCACAGCAACTGTTATGAAGTGATGACATCTATATACTCCAGTTAGTCCTAAGAAAGAGTCTACTAATAATCCTATTCATTCATTCATTCATTCATTCATTCATTCATTTTTTTTTTGAGGTAGGGTTTCTCTGTGTTGCTTTGTAGACCAGGCTGGCATTGAAATCACAGAGATCCACCTGTCTCTGCTTCCCGAGTGCTGGGACTAAAGGCGTGGGCCACCACTGCCCGGGTTTAATTTATTCATTTTTATAGTGATTATTGGGAGATTCTAGGTGCTTCTCTAGGAATATAGTTTAGAATGGAAAATCACCTGCATGGAGATGCTTGTGTCTCTGTGAGGACTTAGCAAACTGAATCAGAATGATTGCAGAATAATAAAAAGGGCTTTGGGGGGAAATACATTTTGCTGGACTTCGCAACCCAGGCCACCTCAGTTCAAATATTGGTTCTTTCACTTGTCAGCTGTGTGATCTTGGGACAGTTATGCAACCTCTCTTTGCCTCAGTTCCCTCCTCTGGAAAATGGGAATAACAATGCCTGTCTGGCGGGGTGGTTAGCACACTTAGATGAGCTAATGTATGTAAGGTACTTAAAACAGGGCAGGGTTCAGAGTAAGCATAAAACCTGGGTGTTAGCTTGTCATGCCTATTAAGTAATGGGATAGGACCGGAGTGAAATGGGACAGGCCAGCATCCCAAGGGATAGATGGTGGCCAGGGGCATTTAAACTGAGTCCTAAGGTGAGATCCCAGCAAGGTGAAGAGATTGAGCAAAGGACAGGAGGTAAAGTAAAGACACCTTGGGGTGTTTGTGTGCTGACCTGACTGAGTCATTTCCTAAAGCTTGTAGTCGTAATGGCTCCTTCTGTATTCCTGCAGATGACCAAGGAGCACACTGGCTGTCTTCCAGGATCCCGGAGCTCAAGAAGTGAGGTGACAGGGCTACCAAGGGCAGGGCCACAGGAGATCACCTCCAAGGAGCTCAGTGAGCTGGCCCCAAAGATGTGAGTCCTCTCCCAGATGCCTCCACCACTCAGCCTGGAGCGGGATAGGGATGGGGGCTGTGCCTGCATCCAGCCACACACATAGCCCAGAGGCAGAGGGCAAGGGTCCCACACAGCAAAAATGACAAAGGTAGAGGAGCCGAGGGACATCCGCATGACATTGTCCCATAGCTATCTCCTTCTACAGGCTCAGGAGCACTGAACTAAATTCCCACAGGCCATCCACCAACTGAAGAAGGAAGTTTGAAAATTAGTTAACATTCATGTACCTTTTCTTCCTTCTTACTTAAAAAGCAAACAACAATAAAACCTACTTACCTAAATAGACCAAGTATGGACCTAGCTGCTCAGGATTAAAGAGATCAAACAGCCATCACCTGGTTGCCTGCTACTCTGTTGGCTCCTTAATTTAAAGTCCTGTTGCCAGGCCTGTGATGCCTGCCTGCAATGCTCGTTACTCTGGAGGCTGAAGCAGGTGCGTCACAAATCCAAGGCCTGCCCAGTTTGCATGAGTTCCAGGCCAGCTAGGGCAACTTCATGAGCACCTGCCTCAAAATTTTAAACAATTGGAAAAGACTGGGGATGTGGCTCAGGAATAGAGCACAGGGCTAGCATGCATGGAACCCTAGGTTTGACTCTCAGTGCCCAAACCCTCAAATTCCAAAACCCTGTGGTTGGATATGATGGACATCGAGATTGTCAAGATGACCGGCTCACTTGCTTTCCCTTTTTCTTTCTTCTTCCTTCACACTCCCCTTTATCCTTCCCCTTCCTTTCTCTTCCATCCTTTCCCCTCTCTCTCCTCTCTTCTTTTCCCTTCTTGCTAGGAATTGACCCCAGGGTCCTCGAAATCTAAACTCAGTTTACCACTGAGCTCCACCTCAGCCCCAGGTTCTGTACCTCTTGGACAGCCTGATGTTACAGCTAGTAACGTTGCTGTAGATAATGTTTTCCTATCCTTTCAGTTCTGGAGGGACTTGGGGGTACCTGGACCTAGACCAGGGCATCTCTGTACTTGGGGGTCATCCCTGCATCATATTGAAAGATAGGCATTGATTCAGTAGGTCTGGTATGAGCCTGTGCTGCTGTGGATAGAGGTGGTACCCGTGTGGGGATGAACATTTGAATAAGCAGCATCTAGAGGTTATTTCACTGTGAATGAGTTGGAAATACTTATATTTCTCAGTTCGGATTTCCTCTTCCCATACAACTGTGTCAACTTGTGTCAAGTTGATGAAAATCAACCATTACTAACTGTAATAGTCAGAAAACAATAATAATAATACAATAATTCTGTTGGCTGGGAGCTCTGCTTTATAAAGACTTTTTGCCGAGGAGGAATATTTTAGACAGGTGAGGCATACATAGGACAAATGGCAAGAAAGATAATAAAACCCAGGTCTCCCAAATTGTTTGAGGACATCTCCGTTCTGCTGCTGTAAATGTAGTTTAAATGTTAAGTGCAGGGTTGACTCTGTGAGCTTAGCAGTAATAAAGGAAAAAAAAGAGGGAAAGTGGCAGGGGAACTATAAATATGAGAGCCAGGCATGGTGCATGTCTGTAATCCCAATATTTTGCAGGTAGAGGCAGGAGGATCAGGAGATCAAGGCTAGTCTGTGCCATATGAAACCCTGTCTCAAAGAGAGAGAGAGAGAGAGAGAGAGAGA